TTTAAAAAAAGGGGCCTGGGAAAAGAAAAAAAAAAATTTTTGCCAAAAAAAAAAAAAAAAAAAAAAAAAAAAAAAGTGAAGCCAAAGCAGGCAAAATACAAGTATTAAGTCTAGATTCTTACTTTTACCTTTACTCTTGCAACAAACAACGCCCATAGGTATTATAAAATGTTTGTTACGTCCAGTTATGTGGCACTCAAAAGTTTAGCATGCAATTATTAAAATAGTTTAATTTTTGCACACGATTACCACATATCAAGAGATTCTTCTAACCTTTTATGTTATAAGGAACAGTACTATACTTTTACAGTGATTTATCAATTTGAAAGTAGTTAACAGTAAACGTCAGTAACATCAATACCATTTCAGTCAGAAACAGTCATAACAGAGATGAAAATACTTGTCTAATATGGGGAGCCAAGCCATTGATGAAGCTGTGAATAGAATGAAGTCAGCTAAATTCCCACCTAGAAGCCTTTCCATTTAATGCAGGAGTGACCCCCATGACCTCTTTCTGCACCTGATGAAACCACCACTGGGAGCATTACAGAGAAACACTTCCATATAGCATTAGGACCAACTCACTACCAAATATTGTAGGGAGTACCTGGCTTATCAGTGAGAGCCCATTCCTTCTCCACATCTCTGCAGCAACCTGAGCAACCAAGACAAGGCATCGCAAAGGATATTCTACTAGCAGCTCCACTTGAAATTCTTCCTAAAATTTAAAAAAGAATAATTTAAAAAAAAATATTAAATCCAGCAGGAATAAGTCTGTCAGTGATTTTAAAAGTGTAAGTCCTAATGAACAAACACACGTTGACAGCTTCAAAACAACCCGTGCATGTCATGAAAGTTAGAGGATGTAATTCTAGGCTTTTTCCTTCCCAGAGTATATATCACAAGAAAGAGGGGTGGGGAGGCGGGAAGAGAGAAAAAAAATAAAATAAAAAAATAAAATAAAATCTTACGGGAGAAACAAACTCGTGCAATCTTGAGATGGCTCCAGTCTTGCTTAATCGTACATGAAGACCTACAAAATCAATGGGGAAACATTAGACAATAAATCATAAAGTCATTCTAAATGTTAGCTAAATCATCTACGACTCAGAATTATAGAAAAAAAAGTAAAATTTTATTTACAAAGACTTGGTACTTTTGTTTGGGGTTTTGTTTTGGTTTTTTTAGATAAAAGATCTATTACATTATCAGTACAGTTCTTACCAGTCTTACAATCTATTATTTTATGAATAAATCTATTCATTTAATGATTTCATCAAAGCCATTTAAACTGAGATGCTAAGTAGCATTAGCAAAATTTTAACTTCACGTTTAAATCATATGTCAGTAATAACTGAATTTCCAGACTACAAGGCTTAACAGATGGTATCTTGTGATAAAAAATCTACAGCTTAATAAAAGCATATGATTTCATTGGTATTCTAGAGAAAGTGGTCATCACCCACTCCTGTGGTCCTTTGTATTCTGACTGGAAATCTGTCCTGGCATGTTGCAAACATGTGTCTTTTAGGAGGAGCATTTTAACAGTCCTAAGATATATGTGGCTGGAAAATAAATTCAAGATAAGTAATAATGAACATTAATTTAGGCAAAACAGGTAGACATAGAAACAGAACCACATAAATTCAAATAGTCCAGAGAACACTGAGGTTCTCGTTAAAACATGAAACTTTTCCTTCTTGCCTGACTTTCTTATCTCTCTCCTGTTTAAAAAATGCCCTCCAACCTCCAAGGCAAATGGTTTTTTGAAAAAAACCTTCCCTTAGTGGGACATCTGAGGAACACGGTTGCCTGATCATGTCAGAAAGTCAGAGAGCAACTGATCTGTGAACCATTACATCTAAATGCTTTCTAGAATAAAGAAAAAGCGACGGATGGTAAATGTGATTCAAATAGCAATTGATTGTATTTGCTAATAGCAAAACACACCACCTACCAGCAAGGGTCCTAGACAGAGGTAAATGTATGCTGACAGGGTCTGCAGACACCCTGTAAGGTCTGCTCTCCAGAGTATGGCCACACAAGTGAAACACTGTCTTCTCCCGTGAGCGGCTGCTTGTGCTGCACCTCATTACAGCTTTATGACATTCTCTGTAGGCCCTGAGCAACAGCTCTTCCTGGAATTTAAAACAAATGCATTCTGAGATCCCTTCTCTCTTTGTCATACCCCAGACTAACTCTTTCAGACTCCTTTTGTGGAGACCTGTATCGAACAATACTGAGCTCTTTTAAAACCGTTAGAGCCTGTTTAGAAAGGCCTGCAGTGACAGGACGAGGGGCAATGGCTTCAAGCTGGAGGGGAACAGATTTAGATTGGAGATTAGGAGAGGGTTCTTTACTGTGAGGGTGGTTGAGTACTGGAACAGGTTGCCCAGGGAGGTGGTTGAGGCCCCATCCCTGGAGATATTCAAGGTGAGGCAACCTGGTCTAGTTGGGGGTGTCCCTGCTGACTGCGGGGAGGTCGGACTAGATGACCTTTGGAGGTTCCTTCCGGCCTGGGCAATTCTATGATAATTCTATGATAAAACGGTGCCACTTAAAAAGCACCACGGAATATTCACAGAAGACAACACATGTAAGAATCCCAGAGAACTGACATACTTACATCAGAGGCACACCACTCCTGGAACATCAAAAGAATGTTCTTGAGCTGCATCTGTATAGCAATAGCTGCTTCCCAGTCAGGGTCCACCTCAATGTGCTGACCAAACTGTCTTTTTATCTCCTCCATTCCCTGAATCGGAGATGCCACAAAACACTCAAGCTAAATCAGTGATCACAGGCTTAAAACAACACAAAATCCCGTATGGTAAAACACAGGTTGTTTAGATACGTGTAGCTAAAATTATAGAAGTAATATTCATCAAAGTAAACATTACTTTTTAACCCATCCAAGAGAGGGATTGAAGAATTTACCATCTTAACTGAATGCTTATATCTAGAATATTGCTATGAATAAAAATATGAGTAAACAAAAGTGCTGTAATATATTTATAATAGTATATTATAAATAAATTAATTAAATGTGTTGTACCTGCATGCAAGTTAGAATCCTTAGGAAAGAAACAAATCCTTCTAAAAACCGCTCCCTCAGACGGTCTGTCCACAATGTAGGTTTGCCGCCTAAAACGTACCTGTCCCAAAGAAAACATTTATCATCTTTTGCTCAGACTTCCCTTCTGCTTATGCTTGTATTTAAAGTGTTCTTTGCATTAAAATAGTCAAATGCATCATCACATTGCATCACCCTCCTCATCTCAAACTCCTCTTAAAATTTTCACCAAACACTAGAGTTGCTTGGTGCAACTCCATCATTTGAAATTAACCATTTTTTTTTAATTCCAGGGTATTTGAAGTGGTTTGCTTTTATGTTTTTCAGTTTATTAGAGAAATATGGGACCTCTAAGAGAAGAAAACACTGCAGATGAGGATAATACAGCTTTCCCAGAATGATAATGAACAGAAGCCAAATTTCCCACACTGTCTTATAGTAGATATTTTTGTTTATTGATGCAATCATTATATGGAATGGTAGTGAAAAATCATCAAAATTGTCATCAAATTGTCTTATATAATTTTGGTATTTGAAAATTTTAAATTTCCACTGAAAAATAAAACATTAGAATTTCAAGTGTTTTTGAGGGGTTTGGGTTTGGTTTTAAAGCAGTTTTATCTTAAGATTCCTGAATTGAAACACCTCATCCTACTGCCAATTTTCTGAGAATTGCTCAAGCATCTCAGTTTTACACTTACCTGAGGTCGTATATTACTGCATATACCCGGTTCAATTTGTCTTGACTGTAACCTTGGAAGTTGAACTTATCATTTTTGTCTAAGTACTCTGGAAGCACTTCTAGAAGTGTCTCTGTAATGGTGGTGATTACATTTTGCTCTTCAATAAGATGTCGGGCCTGCAAGAAGAAAATTTAAAATTTTTATTCCGATTTTTGCTGAAAAGAACTGTCAAAATAAATTTTTCTTTGAATCAAGTCTTTTTGACTAGAAATTATTTTAAGCATTTGTAAAGAGTCCAAGCTAGAAAAACATCCCATAGTATTTATTATGTATGAACACAATTTCTATGAACTTAGCATGTTTGTTCAGTCTGACAGCTTCAATGTAACAGATACGCCGTTTTTTCCAGAAAGGTCATGCAGAAACGGACTTTTACATTAGTATTTCAGGCAAGAAACATACAACCTTTAAAACCTACAGGTATGCTTACTCTCCCTCCCCCAGATTTAACATATTTCACCCCCACAAAAAGACATTTAAGCATTTTTTGCCCTCTCCTCCCAAGTTTTTAAAGGTACATAAGAAGGCAGAAAGGAACAGTGAGTGAACACAAAAAGTTAATGCAGAGAATGATGCTGCCTAAAACTTTTCTGCTTTCCCTCATCTTCTGTAATGACTTTTCACATGAACTCGAGCTCCTGCTCTCATAATGGCCGAAACAAATCTCAAAATCATTCATTTTCAGCTCAGCAATGCATAAAAGCCTCTGTCAAGTACAACAGCCTGCGAAGGTGGTACTGCTCCCAATTCTCAATTTTATTTGACATTTCTGGCGGCGACCGGCTGAACATACCAGAGTGGGTACAGTGAACATCTGAACTGAGAGCGCTGTCACAGAGAGAGCTCTATCGTGATCATCATTGATGTATTCTTTTTGCAGTGCCTTGTAATACTAGGAAAAGAGAGTATCAGGGAAATAAAGTAAATAAAGTGTTAATTAAAAACATTTACTTTTTTATTTGCAAAAATCACACCTCAATGCCCTTCTTCCTTTCTAATAGAAGCAGGTCAAACAACAAAAATGGCACAATGTCCTCAATGCACCAAAGCAATTAAATACATGCCCCACTGCCTTAATACTGAAAATAAGCACAAATCAAACTGTTCTGCCAGATTGAAACCAAAATTTTTTTTCTCCTACAACCAATCTTCCCCAGGAAAATAAATTTAATATCTGAAAAAAGGATCAATAAAGACGTTAATTTACTATAAAACAAGACTTCCTCCTGCAGTGAACTGCATGGATAGTTATTCAACAGCTGTCTATAAAAGGTGTGTACAATGAATAATGTAAATCTTTGTTTGCTTTGTTGCAGTCCAGAGAAAACCATGAGTATCAGTCACCTTTATCAGAATTAAAAAGCCTCACCGTAAAACAAAAAAACTCTCAGGCTTATGATTGGTATATTTCTTAACTATCGTATGTAGTTTTTAAAAAGAAAAGCCAATTTCAGTTGCAGTTCATCTGCCATTTCAGAAGATACACAGAATACTAATAATTCTGCATTCAAAATGAGCATATATACCTACATGATTATAAGGAACAAGCCAATGACCTTGAAATTAATACACTATAGAAAGACTGAGCTAGTTGTTGAAGCTCTGCTTGTTGAAAATTCATTACTTATATTGTAACAATTTTCCAGTTTCAGGGAACTTATACAAAGCCAGTAAAAATTCATAACATAAGTAACATAACCATTTACCTTCACAAATTCCACAGCAAAAAGTTTTTTGTATTCCATTTCCATGAAAAAACTACTGAAGATAAGTTCATGAAGAACCTTCCTTGCCCCTGTGAAAAGCCAATACAATGAACATCACTTTATTGTACTAAGATGCAGCTTTCTGTGGAAAAGAGGAACGGATTACTAAATTATAATTAAAAATCATTAAAAGCCTTGAAATTGTTATGAAGTATATGAAAAAAGTTATTCTTTTTTTTATATATATTTTTAACATTTATTGGTACGCATTTAAAACACAGGATAAGCATCAAGTCACTCATACTCAGGCTACATCTTGTGAAAAGATTCTTCAAAATATAAAGCAGGAAAAATTTAGGAGGTAAATACATACTCAAAATACCAATTATCTCAGCTGTCAAAAAAAAGGCTACATAAAAAGCATAATATAAAACCCATAAGGAAATGTAATTCCACCTGCATATCACCTATTTACTTTTACACATTTGTTACACATAAAAAAATAATTTGTCTCTTCAGTTTATAGCAACGTAGATACACAAACCTTTATGAAGTTTTGCATCCCATAGCATCAACTTGCTTATGAAACATGGGTTTTCAGATCCAGCTTCTTCTTTGAGACATATTTGACAAAAGATCTGGCGGAAACTTATTTACTTTTACACATTTGTTACACACATAAAAAAATAATTTGTCTCTTCAGTTTATAGCAACGTAGATACACAAACCTTTATGAAGTTTTGCATCCCATAGCATCAACTTGCTTATGAAACATGGGTTTTCAGATCCAGCTTCCTCTTTGAGACATATTTGACAAAAGATCTGGCGGAAGTCACCTATAGGGATAGAACTATTCATTTGTACAAGAATGCTTCAATAATTAAATTATATGAGTCAACAAAATGAGAATTATAAAATTCCATTCTTTAAGAGAAAAAAGAAGGCACGTAAGTATGAATTATTTTTAACGTTTTTTCTCAGCAAACATACTCCCACACGCTCTCCCCTTACCAATTTCTTCCTATTATTCTTACCACCTTTATTAAATAAATCCAGTGATGCAGAAGAGTATTTTAGAATGGAAAGCACTTAGAGAGCTTTGGTTAAGTATGAATTATTTTTAACAACGTTTCTTCTCAGCAAACATACTCCCACACATTCTCCCCTTACCAATTTCTTCCTATTATTCTTACCACCTTTATTAAATAAATCCAGTGATGCAGAAGAGTATTTTAGAATGGAAAGCACTTAGAGAGCTTTGGAGAGCAGATCCATGAGAAGAGTTCACCATGTCAGCACAGAAATGCCCAGGCTAGGCAAGTCTACACTGCTCCCTGCTTTGGGCCCCAAAAGTCAGTCTTTTATAGAATTTCAGAATATTACTTTATATTTTCTTGCACCTATCAGTAAATACAGTACTTGCTGAAGCAATTTTGGGGATCATCATATCAGAGTCACTCATGGGTTACTAACGTTCAGAAATAAGCTCTTATGTTACTAATTTCAAAAGGAAAAGAGGAGTGCCATTAGTAAAGTTCCTGACAACCTGGAAATAAATAATATTGAATGCTTCTTGAACTGTGTTCTACCACTTGAAGCAAACCCAGGAAAAGAACAGGAACGACCAGACCACCAGGAAATTCCAGCTGAGTACAGAACATCAGGCCCTTAAAGCATCTATGTATATAATCCAGAAGAACAAGGACAGGAAAGTTAAACTTCAATCTTTGTGTTTGAAGACTCTCATAAAACATTTTAAAGTATCAGTTTACCTATAACTATTTCCTAACCCAAAATGCTACACCCAACATGGGAAATTCCTTTTTATTTTCTTTAATCAGCTAAAAAGCTAACACTTAAAACCCTGTAATTCTGGGGATTGGCTGGGGCACTAACAACGACTTGTCTATACTTACACAAAGTCAACAAATGAATAACTAACTGTCAGTCAGTGTTTTAGAGTAATTTCATAAAATTTGAAATAATAAAAAAAAATCTAGAAAGAAAAATGTGGATGAAAGCCGAACTTTCACTAGAAACCTTGAAATAAACCACAGTCAAAAATTTGTACCGACTAAAAGAACTGAGGGACCAGCATGAAAACATCATCAGTGAAATAAACAGAAAGCTAAAAGTTATAAAGTATTTTGAATAATTAACTCAGACCAGCATGAAAATATCATCAGTGAAATAAACAGAAAGCTAAAAGTTATAAAGTATTTTGAATAATTGCAAAAAGGTATGCTGATATATTAGGGATGCTGATATATATTTCAAGGGGAAGACTGGAAAGTTCAGAAAAAGTTATAAAGTATTTTGAATAATTGCAAAAAGGTATGCTGATATATGTTTCAAGGGGAAGACTGGAAAGTTCAGAAAAAAAGGTACGAATTTCACTTTATTATCAAAGCTTACGAAAGAGGCTAAAACAAACCAACAGATTTACCCTATCAAGAAGGAGAAAAAGCAAAGAGTACAGCTTAATCTACATGTATTTGTATGGTGAGAAGAAATTGCTTTCCTTTGGGAAAACACAGGTACTACAAAACCCAGTAACAGAAATCAAAATTAGATTAATCCAGAAGTCACCTCGAAAACCATGGGCATCATCAAACACCAGAACAATGTTTGAAAGCTTAAAACAGACTTTCCATTACTGGACAAATTTTTAAATTAAGGCTTTTGTTTGTTTTACTGACTATCTCATTAACCACAGCTGTCAAATCTGAAGCAGGAATTAATTCAAGCAAAGGATGTCTGCTTTACACTGATGAAGATGTTCTGCAGCTTTCCACCAGCACTGGGTAAAGCAGCTTTTAAGCAAAGTCACTGAAATAGGGCATGTGATGCTGAAACTGAGCATAATAAAACTTCTAGAGGAACAGACAGAGCTCAAGCAGGGAAAGACATTTATTTTAGCAAGAAGAAACAGAAAAGTACTACTATTCATAATCATACTGATGGATATCAAAACCCATACTACTGTATTATTTACTAATTACAGGGAATGTGACAGTGTTTTAATAAGGGAATATCATATTTTACACAGCTAAAAATATTTTTTGAGTGAATTAGTCATCCAAACACTGACATGGCATTATGGTAACCAAAATTAGTTATGCTTACTTGAGTAGCTCATGAGTTTGTTCAGCCAGGAACCAAGGCGCAAGGCAAACTTCTGGTGAGCCATAACATCCGCGTGCAGAACCTCCACATGAAGTGGTCGTTGAGAAACATTTTCAGAATGCCTCTAGGAGTCAGATAAATATTAGTAGATAGAAAATAAAGATATTCATATTCATCTTTACCACCCATTACCTCTCCCAAGCACATGTTAATGGCAAACCCTAATAAAGAAATCGGTTTGACATTTTATTTCTGAAGATATTTATTTATCTATACTAACTGTGGTGGGGTAAAATCAATTTCAAGAAGTTTGCAGGCAGGTTATAAAGGCACAGAAGTACTAAAGACTGTACAGCAGACAAATAAGTCTTCAGTATTAAATAACGATGAGGCTGATTTGCTTGTTTTTTAAATGAGAAAAATATTTAAGGAAGTTACCTTAATTTCTTCTTTGGCTTCCTGACAAGAGGTATAATGTCCTGCCTTAACAGCTCTACGACCCTGTTTAAAGAAAATATCGAGCATGAGACCAACATAAATCAAAACCAAAATGTCACAAGCCCGATCTTTGCTATGTTTTTTTTATATGTAAAAGAAAAACAGAGACCAACATCACTCATGGTGCTTTTAGACATCTAGAAGCAAATCAAAATTAACATAGTTATCTTTAGAAAAAAAGTTATTTGAATTAAATTAACAACAAAACAACAAAGTAAAGTCTGGGTATCATTGTTATTAGATGAGGAAAATTCATGTACGCACAGTGACTCTGCAATGTGCCTTTCTCTCTCCACATGCTCCAGCATCCCGGAAACAAAGATTCCATGATCAAGAGACTAAAGTAACACTTCTTAATGATCAAAAAGTTACTTTCTCTTATATACAGAATGCACTAACCTCTTTATCTATGGCAGTAGTATGCAACTGGGCTTCACCGTGTTCGCAGCCAAGTGCCCTTTGCAGGCTATAGATGACATGATCATAAGAATGATGTTCATCATTGAAAAGGACACAGTAGTAGCTGTCTACCTTCTCTCTGCTGGGAAAAAGCCAACAGATCATCAAACAAATAGAAGTAAAATTGTAAATAATGTCCTATCCAATACAAGCAACAGCTCACTTGATAGCTTGAGAGGTTTCAAGTACAAAAAAGTCATAGAAGAAAAGCAAGCATGTTCTTCATGTCAAAGACACACCCAAGAATTCCCTCACCATGTATACCAGAATAAGCCACAGTATGAAGGACAAAAGAGATTTTAAGTTATTTGATTATTCCATTATTATTTCCTCTATCTGCTATTTAAAGATCCCATTTCTCTTTTTAACGTGACGCACAACAGTCTTTTACCATTTTGATGGACCAGTCACACACTACTTTTTCCAGGAAGTATCAAAAGCTTTTCTCTATGTACCTGTAGGTCAAAAATATGACAGCACTGTTCACAGGGATTTTGGCACTAATATATTTGCATGAGTGTAAGCATACCACAGGTGAAATTATTATCACAGTTCCTAATGCCTTGAAGAGAAAGTTGGACATACTTCCTACCTGATTGTGAGCTCTGGAGGCAGTTCCTTCTCTTCTTCCCATATAAGCATATCTACAATGTATTTTATCGCAGAGGGAAACACTCTCCTAGAGTGCTCCATAATTTCTTCATTCAGCTGACATTCAGAGTTCTGAAAAACATGAGATAATATTAACATGGAAAAGAAACTTTAAAAATGAAAAAAAGGGTTGGTAGAATACCTTATTGCTATATTTGTTCCAGGACATAAGCCTTCTCATTATTTTCAAGCAAATTAATCTCATCCAATTTCCTCTCTTCAAAACTATTTCATCCCACGGGCTCCCACAGTATTCCAACAGTTTCATCTACGTTTTTATACACATCCAGTTTTTACCTAGGAATAAGCTACAAAAGGCCTCACCAAATGTGTTAGGAAATTTCAATTATTAGGGTTTTTTTAAACTTAAGCTGGCTAACAGCTTTCTGTACACCTGAAGATATTAGAAGTTTGCAGCCCAGACCAAAATTATTCCCCTGCATTGCTTGCTCTTTTGTGTGGGCATTCTGTCAAACATTTTTGATACTCCTTGAACAGAATCATCCAAGGAAACCTAACTCTTCAGAGATCCCATCCCAGATTTAGAAACCATTCAAAAATATCCCTGGGAACTGAGGTATTTCCCATCCACTCAGATAAAGGTCACTAAGTGAATTGTCCACATCATATAACATTATTAATCCTTTCCATAAGCATTTAAGGAAAGAAATTAAGATTATAAGCAAAGAAAACCATTACCAAATCTGCACTTAAGAACAAAGCAATCAATATTGAAGTACAAGACACAGATATATTGCAATGACCCTGTGTGAAAAGAGGGCTTTCATCCAAAGGCTCTGACGACCTTTTCCACACGCCGCCATTAATGTCAGTGTAACCAAATCCAGTCATTTCACATACAAATAAGACACAGAAACAGAAGCTGGTATTTTCTACAGTATTTACACATAGTTTCCTATAATTTTAGGATCACCCAAACTGCCTACAAAATTTGAATATGTTCGTGTTTGCCAGAGTGAGAAAAGATGAGAAACAAGGAATTTTTTTCCAAGAATAAAGCTTTTCACGTGTGCCTTTTAATCCCAAAGTAGTAGGGGCGCTCATCTCCACAGTACACAATGTGATAGATGTTAAATAGAAAAGAACAGAAAGAGTGATGTGTTTAATATAACTTAGGAATTGTGCACATTTATCCATTTACAAAGCAGGGTGCTTTAAAAAAAAAAAAAAAAATCATGTGAAATCACGTTGTGTCTGTATAGTGGAAAAGCTAAAAATGTAGTGGAAGAGAAGTAAAAATGCATTAACACGGCCAGTTGCTTCCAAAACTCAGAACAACAGTTTTCTGACCTGATAAGCATTAGAAGAATAATTTGGATCCAAACATATAATCTAAAATGTCTGCCAATGAAATCATGGTCTATAAATATCACTGTGTGTACACACTTGACTTTGGATAAGCTCGTGGAAGATCTTGGTAATTAAGAATGTAAATGTCTGAGGTAATTATTTGTTCCCAGACTGACAAAACTATCATTATCTTAAATTTTGCAGCAGAATGAAAAAAAACTTAAGTGCTAAGAATAATCTAATTCAATCCAGTTGTAAACATACTGACTTTTTCCCCAGTATTTCTTAGGAGTTTGGCTTTTTAAGCATTAATTTATGTTAAGCAAAAACATGCTAGAGGAAAACTCCATGCAGAGAGATACTCAAAACAAGAACCTTGTAGCAAGACATACTGCTGTCCTTCAGCCTGTAGAAGAAATCAAAATAAAACACACCAAAGGACTTATAAACTATTAAAAGTGGGGATTTCACTCAGAGTGGAAAGTTAAATGAAGCAACGCCATCTCCAATGCAACCCACATTAATAGAAGTCACAGTAAAATGACATTCAGATACAGCTAATGTAAACTGAAAGGGTAAAATCAAAATTTCCTCAGAATTATGCCCAAAAATACGGAATTATTTAAGCTTCAGGTAAAGCTTCAAATAACAACACTGTGGAAGAACGAATGCAGTGCATTCAGATATAAAAGTTTAAAAATAACTAACTAACCACAATTTTTTTTATTTTTTTTTTTTAAACAAATGTGCCTGGGAAGTATATTTACTTCACTTCAGACATGAACTCTAAAAATTATCTGATTTTAAGAATACATTCAGGCAAGAAGGTATTTATATTTACGATACAGTGAAGGCATTAATTTGGAATCAACATGGAAACGATGATTCCTGAAAGCTTGGACTGGAGATTCTAAAGTGAAGAATTGCTTTTCTGACCCTCATATTACATACATTTTACCAATAAGTTTTGCAAATATCTCCTCACTGTAAAACTTCTTTTTGTTTTTAAACTAAGGTTTAATTAAGATTTTCGTAAGGATACTGTGTTTTACTAGTGCTCACCTTATTATCTCAGAAATGCTAAAAACTCTGGTGCTTATCTTTCATCTTGTAGATTGAAACCTGTTGTACTGAGGACTAATTTTAAAAGTAGTTCTGTAGATCAAACTCTAAACTTAATCTACCTTTCAAAAACAGCAGCCAGTTCCTAAGCACATTTTTACCATGTTCTGCACAGCAGACAAACGTACTGCAAACACATACCTCTTCTTATTTGCTCCTACCTGATCAGAGTAAGTTTATAAACCCACAGCACGATACATCCTCTGCACTTCGAGTAATTAAAGGAATACTGATCAGGATCACCCAGAAAAGTGCGGGTTTTTTTGACAAGCATGTGATAAACTTCTATAATATCAGAAAACATGCTGGAAAGAAATACGCAAGACGCCTGTTCCAAATGCGTTTTGCAACTCATTTCTTTTAATAAGCACTATATGCTGAGAAAAATCCTACAACATGAATGTCCTTGATTCTCAAAACAAAAAGAGAACAAACTATGAGGTAATCCAAACATCCATGAGCCTCTTCATGATAAAATAATCCCCATTGGACACATCTTCTATTAAAGAACATGGCCATGCAATGCAATCTATCAAATAGTTACATATAGTATACATTAATATACTGATTCATTTCAGTATTGTACCAGTTGTACTTCTGTCCTATTACTAGATAGTCTATATATACTGACTGAATAATAACTATACATGCTACAACAAAGAACTATTATAATAAAGTAATTTTCTACTTCTTTGAATTCAAATAACTGTCTCATTATATGTTTTCTATCATTCACGACTGCCAGGTAGTACCCATTGCAGAGTCCATTCCAGTTTATCTGACAGCAGTTTTAACACAGCTTTGGACTCTACAACTCTGTGACAAGTGATGATCAAACAAATTCATGGCAAACCAACCAAAGACCTTATCAGAGATTGGAAGAGAAATATTACTCGAGGAAGCATGGGAGGTTCCCCATTTCCTTATCATCACAGGTTTGATTACAGTTCTCAATAACGTTTTAAACCAAGAGACACTGTCTTAGCTGCTGTCATTACTGATATGATCTATCCTTTAGCCTTATCTCCATTGGATGCAAATGGCCTGAAAAACACTCTGAGCAGCTTACCTTCATCCAAATAGAAATAAAATGCTATAGACTGAATGCATGCAATTTCATCCCAAGCTTTGTTTGAATACCATTTTGAAAAAAGCCCACAAAATTTGGACAGTGTGATTTTAACAAGAGTGAAAGAGCTTTTTGGTAAAATGGTGTTTTTCCTGAGAATTGGGTTTGAATTATTTTATTGTTATGAAAAAACTGTTTTAAAGGAAAGGGAGGTAAAAAGCAGAATATGCTGTCACAGATGTAAATACCAGATCTGCAAGATCAAAATCTGTACCTTGCAGATAAACAGGCTCCTCAGCAAGGAAGTAAACATTGCATAAACCATTTTAGGTCAGAGTTGTTGGAACCAAAAAATAATAGCATTCTCAAAAGTGCTGAAACAACTGCTAAAAGATCTCATACAGAGATTTAAATTTTAAAGCTGGGAGATACAATCTATTTTGTTTAGAATCTTGTTAAAAGTTCTTAATGTGCCTCATAGGTCCATGTTCATCCAGGTATCGGTGTGATTTTTTTGGTGAGCCATCATGTATGCTAGCTACTGTCTGTAAGACAAACTGGTCACCTGAGGCGTAAGAAGTATCACTTATCTAGGAGCAATGGAGATGCTTTGGCTGGAAACACTAAATTTTCAAGTGGAAGAAAACTTAAGGCTCACCTGAGACCTGAACATTTTGTCTTAACACCATTGCTAAATTCTCTTTGTGATATGATATGGATCTCTCAGCAATCATCTAGAAATCTGATACTGAATCAGAAAATCATAGAATCATCCAGGTTGGAAGGGACCTTAAAGATCATCTAGTCCAACCATCAACCTAACTCTGACCAAAAAATAAATAAGAAATAAGCAATAAAAAAATCACTAAACCATATTCCTGAGGAGCATGTCAACCTGTCTTTTGAACATCTGAGCACCTTGTAACATCAGTTTTCCATAATATCCAAAGGTGGCATTGAAGCTGGTAGACACATGAGTTCTCTACCTTCCCATATATCTTTATGAATAGTACCAGGAATCTAGCATTGCAAAAAACTCCTACTTTCCTTCAGAACACAAGGACAAAAATGAATACTTCCCAAAGAGGAACTGTGCTAGCTTCTTATTCTGGAAGCACCTCCAGAACGTGCTAGAAAAAGTGTAAAACATATGTGGTAATAGAGATGGCAGAAAAATACCGTAGCTATTTTGAGGTATTCTAATATTGTGAAAACAATTTGGGTCTCTTGATTACAGTTTCTCCTAAGTAACATGTAGGTACCAGCCCCACATATATATCACGTGGCTCAGTACTCAGCACTGCACAGTAGAACAGATTTCACTGAAGCAGCAGCAGGTGAACACTACAGTGACAAGCTCCAAATTGGAATCAGATGACCCCTTCCTGAAACTTCAACTATTTTTGTTTCTGAAATCCATTAAGATTCATGCTTTTTTGAAGGATGAACAAGTGAATGAAAACTTCATCTCATTTTTCTGCAAGACAAGTGCTCTTTATTTCTATTCTACTTAATATTTTTTTCCAGATCATAAAGAACGATACTTTTGCAAAAAAAGAAACAAAACAGACAAACAAAAAAAACCAAACCAGGCGGAATTAGGAGTCTATTTGCAATGATGGATGGTAATTTTTTTGTCCTTATTATCTCAGAATGTAGGACTTGGAAGAAACAATTTTATCTGATGCAACTGATTTGCCTGCATTCTTTTTGAGAACTGCCTATTAAATATTTCTTGTTAATATGCTGCTTTATGAGGTACAATAAGCCTGAGACATCATGAGGTTATTTTTAAAGCAATAGGGACTTATTTTACTCATAGTGACAGATCACATACCAGAATTAACTTACAAAAAAAAATTGTTCAGTAATGTGGAAAAGAGAAGATATTACGAAAATCAAGTGCTATATAAACAACCACTTTAAGCAATATTCTTACTTCTTTTGCAGAACCTGATGCTCCAGGCTCATGTTTAGTACACAGCGGTCCAGCCTTCCATGCCTCTGTATCCCCACAGTCACAAAAGCCACCTCCAGTGGAGCTATGCATCTGTAAAACACGTGCATTTCAGTCATGAAATACACACATAAACAGCAAGAGAAAAATTGAAATGTGCACTATTTAATTACCAGATACAATTATAAATACTTACAAAATATAAGAGGCACTGCATAACCAATGGACTTGCCACATTTTTTATTTTTTAGATAAAAGGAGACTTATCAGAGGATTGAGGTGGGAGAAAATACAAACTTTTTGAGCAAGAAAATACAGTTGCTGCTGAAAAAAAATATGTAAGTCTTAAGCAAATTTACCTATAAGTATGTGAAAAGGCCTGTGACTGATAATAAACAACATAAACAACAAAATAATAATTTCTAGTTTTATTAGCAAAATTATAGCAAAGTTGCTTAATACCTTCTTTACAAATTACTTGGTAAAGTTTGAAAATCATCTTAAAAGGATATTAAACAGGTATTTAGTAGTACCTCCACTTCTAACCAAAGAAACTAAGATATAATCAGCATCTAAATACATTATTGCAACTTTAACTTTGCATTACACCTTCAGAAAAGTACAAATTCTGATCATTTTGGCAAAAAAAAATTCAGACAAAACTCAGGCAAAAATAACTATCCTTAGTTCAGTCTAAATCCCCAGTCCTAAACTAATTATAAAAACACTAAGTGACCCAATAAAAAGACACTGAAAAAATTGTTATTTACTTGAAACAATTTAAAATAACTTGATCTAATTAGATGTGCTTGGAGCACAAGGTTGGACTCAGTGATCTCCTTAGGCCCCTTCCAACCTAAATTATTCTATGGATCTATAAAGAGCATAATCTGTATTCTGTAGATTGCATCTTTTAAATGGAGATGCAGCGAATCTGCTCCCATCTGACTACCTATTCCCGTGGTTGATGTTTTGCCTGAAGAAGTTACTGAAAAACAGGGAAAGGACAACAGCTTCTCAGCCCAGCTGTAATTCCCAACTGCTCTGTAATCACTATTGCCTACTTTCCCTGATTTTCATCTTACCTCTCTGTAAACTGTGTGTGTGCATGGAAGTTATATTTGCATTCTCCAAGTAATTTTTGTACATCTCTGAATCAATACTTTTGATTTTCAGATCAGTATACAAAGACTTATACAGAGGGGCAGAACTTTGCATTTCAGTCCCAGTTAATTCTGAGATTCTTCCAAACTCTGTCTCACTGAAACATACCCACCTACAGGGGATTTACGACCAATTGATAATACCAGTAAGATCAATCTCTTCAATGGATGTCATGTCAATGACTAGGAGGAATAACTGCAAAAAAATCTAGCCCACCTTTTGGTCATGGAAGTTAATCAAATTGCATACGTAATGTTTCTGTACATTTTCTTGCTCTTTGCAGTGAGTTAGATGAGCTTTAAAAATTACACTGAATATATTGTTTTCCATTTCTGCATCCAAGGCTGTTGAAATTACAGAGTTCTCAGTGAAGAGGGCAAGCAAAAAAGGGGGCCGGGGAAGCAAACAGTAGATGAAAGTTTAGTCAGTGAGTTAGCTAACAATTATTGAAAAGATCCTTCTCTAATTAAAACATGGGAATCAAAGATAACATAGATTTTGCTCAAAGAGAACCAAAAGGATATCAGAAAGAGATTATCTCATTCTATAACAATCTCCTCAATAAAAAAAAAAAGATGCTTAATTTTTGTTTTAACATTATTATAGCCCACACTAAGCACAAAGTAGTTTATGCAAATCTAAATGGAGGAACAGAGTGGAAATGCAGAGACTGCATCAGTACGTGCTGAAGTAATGGCCCTTGTATACGCACACTCAATTTCCAGACAGCACTGACTGGAACTCAGGACAGGAATATCATTTTCAGTCACAGCTTTTTGCTCTGACACACGCTTCTGTGATATTGCCAAAGAGGATAACAATGTATGCATTCAAAAACACTCCCCTTGCCTTTAGCTCTTGATTAAGAGGCTTTACATAGTTAGAAACATGAGAGAAAGAGAATTAAGTAGTAAACCCCATTTATTTTTTTTAATAAAAATTACTAGTGGTTTATATGCAGTTTATTATATCCTCAAAAAAATCCTCTCTAAAGGTACAAGTACACCTTCTTAATATAAGATTTTCCTACCTTGTACCTGTGGTTCTTGTGAATGCTGTTCTGGAAGCAGTCCATACAAAGCACACAGGTTGGATCAACTGCACAGTCCCTGCAACAAAAACAGTAACTGAAAAACCTTCTACAACAAACGTGGAATTTTCACGCACAAAAGAAACGCTGCTCGGAAAAAAAATTTGAGATTAACAACTGATCCAAATTATAAAAACATTGGCTACTTCATGTCACAGAAAGAAGACAAAAGCCAATCTTGTTAGGCTTGAACCATGTCCTCGAACCTGTTACATCAGATTCTGTCAGAAAGATTCTATCCCTTTTCAGAACTTGCTGCTAACACATTTCTGCTTATGCTGAGAATAAGCAGCTATTAAAACCCATGATGGCCCTGAAGTAACAGTTATTATTGTTTCCAACAACTGCAGCCACCTTTCTAATGAAACTTTTGCTACACTTCTGCTAGGTTATGTTTCTAACTTGCAGAACAGTTAGACATTAAGATCTAAGGAGAATTCCTTTACAAAACTTTGAAATTTAATTTCAACAGTTTCAGTCATGCACTCAAATACCTGAAAATCCAGAATTACATTCACAGGCAATCTAATTCCATTCTTCTCTATACTCCACATACATATGCTTTTTTCCCCTAAACCATGTCACGCTTTTTTTCTTTAAATCCTGTCTGAATCTGTGCAAAATGTGGATGACAGGTGTTTAATGCAACATATCAAGTTTTTTGTTTTATGCCATTGTTCAAGCCTCCTTTACAATACAACTAAAATAGTATGGTAATTCTGACTACAAAATTAATTTCCTTTCAAACCTTTAGATGATAATCATCATTATAATAATTTAATACTTCACTAACATTTATTACCATAAATCAACTGCAAGGTGAGCTAAAAGAAAGACAACTTAAGCCAGAAATGGCTGCTAAATTTGAATGCCCAATTTAAGACATTTAGATTTTAATATTTCAGCGTATCCATTATTTTTAGCAATTTAGACACCTAAAGCAAGTGTATATTCAGCTTCAGTTGCAGTAGTAAGTATGGTATTTTGTAGAAACACTACCATATTTATTTATTTCATATCAAAAAGATATGAAAAAGAGACTACCTCTGAGAAGTGTAGCTTTGTTTTTTAGCCTGCTATCTCAGAAGAACTCCACAGAGGTAGAAACAGAATTATTCCTGTTTATCACTGTTTGAACTGCCTTGACCATCCTTTTCCTTCATACAATCCAACGTCATATTCACTATACACTTTCTAGCAAACACGTAAGGACTTCAAAGACCATTCTCCTTTCATACACAACACTAACTTATTCCTAGAAAAAGCTGAAGAATATGTGACTATTAAAACCTTACAGTGTAATTCATAAAGTTTACAGGGAGCTTTCATTCTGATATCTCCTAAATTCTAAGGGCTAGATTTTTTAGACACATTCTTCACCCTTAATAACTGTCCTTTGGTATTTCTGATTAAATTTTCTAGGTTTTTAAAATAAACTTAAAACTAGAATAAACTATGACAATAGCATCATAGTAATACAACTGAATTGCCCATACAGTTACAACCTTTACACCCACCCCAAAGACCTCTGTTTTTAAAAAATTAATATATTATTATTCATATTAATATAAATTAATGAAATAAATTCTATCATACTAAGGGGCTGCCATCTTTAACACTCTCCAGGGTGAGAAAGAAAGTGAAAAAACGACCACTGGTCACATAGCTATTGGTTAAGCAAAGGACTGATGATGCTCAGAAATGCCGGGTTCCATTTCAGACTTTGAAAGGGTGAGTACTGTACAGCCCACAGATCTGTATGCCTGTTCTCCCCCAATTCAGGTGCAGATCCCATACTCATACCCTGTCATCCAAGCTTTTTAACCAAAGCCTTTCAGTACTTTTATTATCCTTTCCACTTCCTTCCCCATTTCTCTGCCAGAGCCTGCTTTTCATAGGCAATTTTCCTCAAATGCCACTCTCAGTTAAGCAAAGACCTACCATGACACAAGCAACAATTAGTTAGCAGCGTGACTAATTGTATTAAACCACTTTGCTGCATTATGTTACATGGGGACATTCATGCTAACATACCTTTACTCTTACCTGCAAGAGTATGTTGTCTCCCCTCCTTTGAACACCTTCCCACAGAGCTGGGAGGTTCCACTCTGTTGTAGTTTCTCCAGGAACATATCTGGGTCTTCCCCGAACAAATAACATTCCAGGGGGTATAATATTGCTGCCTGGACCATTTCTTCTTGTTTCTCCAGCAAGGGATCCATTTCAGCTGAGTAAATATTTGGCACATGTTTTGCCAAGCATTGTAAAAACGTAGCTTGGAAGTTGAATCTTTCATCACACCACTGCAAGAAAAGTACAGCCACGGATAAGCACAAGTGAATAATTAAATTTAAAGATAATAAGTATTATTATATATTATAATATATAGTACTATTATATATTATAATAAGCAATAGTATTAAGCACTTCTACTGGGAATCCAGAATTCTTTTCCCCATTCAGAAGCCAGTTCTGCAAGCAATAAACCCCAAGAAAGCATGGTTTCTCAAGAATTTCTCTGCTACTTTCCTTTCAGTACCCACCACAGTAACCTCTGTTCCCTTGAAGTCACCTACTAAAACATTCTGAGGCAAGAGTTGCCAAGTGCTGTGCTACTGCAGAGTAACCCGGGCACTAATTAATTTTCAATGACACGCTTGCCAACGAGCCAGCCAATGCACAAATCCTGCTGTTTGCTCAGCTGCCGACAAATGGAAGGAGCAGGAGCAGCAGAGGGTTTCCCCATCTTGGCTGGGAAATAAGTCTGGGATTCATTCCTTCTCCTGCTGACAGTCACAAAATATGCAGCAACTCATTGGTTTTTGAAATTGTTACCCTTCAGTAAAATCCTGTTGAAAGTGGTCACCAGGGTTCAACAGTTACTGGGGGAGAAAGAAGCCCAACTGATTGTATCAGTTTAATGTCTTCAGGAAACCAGAACAAAATGCTATTTTGTATTTATAAGGTAATTAATAAAAGTACTTAAGTTTGGGCTTGAAGTTCTTAAATTTCTTAATTTAAGTCCCTAATTTCACTTGCAGCTACTCTAGTTCTCTGAACAGTTCTCTCCAATTGCTCTGTTTCTGTCCTTCAAGTCCGAATATTCTTTCTTTCATGTTATTCCTGTTACTTAGAAATACCTTTTGTTTTTCCCCATTGCGAAACAGATAATTTACGCACCAAGGCTCCTAAAAACAACCTCCTTTCATACACAGCTTTGATTTATGCCCAAAAATTTATTTTTGCAAGAAAAAAAAATATATATGTAACTTCATAAATAGCTCTAAAGGGAAATTTGTCTAGGCCATAGAATGAGCAAAGCAACCAGCAGAGAGTTCAGATTAAGAGAAGGCTCAAAGTAGCAGACTAATCAACTCTTTTAAAAGGATGAAAACGCACAACCATCTGACTTAAAATGAAACCTACAGCAATTGAATCAATGGACTGTCCCCCCAAAATTGATGGAGATAAAGGATTAAATAATAGATCTATAAGGTTACAGCTCCCAAGTCTACTATCTAGAACTACAGTTCTCCGAAAAAAAATAAATTAATCTAGAACACACGCAGTCCTAACTGCTGCGATCCCGGTACTCTGAAAGCCAAATCTGCAATCATGTAGAAATTCCATATTTCTTTTCTGAAAAATTGGATGTCTACCCAATATAGGCAACTACAAAAAAAACTGTCTACATACAAAATCTAAACAGAATCGAGATATCCAGTTGAAACAGTATAGATTAACAATAATATCCATTTCCCAAAACTAATTTGTTAAAGGAGATTTGTTCCACGTTGTAACTACCCTAAACGCATGCTTTATGGCTTTAATAAGACATACTATACTTCTAATATGTTTAGTTTTAACCTGAGGCTTCTACTGGTATTTTGGCTGTCAATCTTCCTTAGCATTACTCTTAGCTAGTCCAATACTTCATTTATCACAGTCATCCATGAACTCAAAGTTATGGGAAAAAAATGCATGGCAGACACTGATGAAAAAGAGAAGCCATGGATAATGTGGTCAAGCAGGAGAGCAGATTTGTCCTCAAATCATCCTAGAATATCCTCATTTTATAAATGCAGGTTGACCAGTCTAATAAAATTTCTTGAATCACAAAGCATTCAACCGATCCTCAAATATCTGAAAATGAAGATTCATCCATGAAGTGATAGAAAGCACTTATTTAAAAACCAATTCTAACAAAAATTCTAGATAGAGAACAGATTTATTACATGCACAGTTAGCACCACTGTGGTCACCATATTGGTCACAAAAGCTTTAGCATACACATGCATGTAATGTATAGGCGTTCTGTATACATACATGCACTCAAATATATAGGTATGTATTTATTTTCACATATTCACAGTGCTAAGGAACAAAAGGAAAAGGAAACAAATTAGCTGATTGCCTCTTATTTTAAATAATTTGTTCAAATTTTTCACGTACCTAGCAACAATTTTAAAAATAAACATTATATTTACCTGGGGCATAAAGACACCAAATCTTAAAAAGCAACTGAAATTAAATCCAGATTTCTCAAATACTTGCATGATAACACTTAAAAAAAGAAAAATACCACATTTAGCTGGGGCTTTTCAGAAAGACAACGGATTTTAAAAGGTAACTGAAAACTGAGTTCCTTGATCAGGTGTTTATTTTTTTTACATGTCTGATTTAAGATAAGTGGAAGTAAATTATTCCCACGATAAAAAAAGTCCATAATTCAGCTTTCCTCCTTAAACATGTTTCTTCCTGTAACTTGCTTTTGGGTTTTGTTTTAACATACCTATACTGCATTATGGCTTTAGTAAGTTCCCCTCCCAATTCAATTACTGTATTTGTTCAAGTGGGGGGCTTGGGGGGTTTGTGTGTGACCCTTTGGAATGCACTCTTCCCAAAGCACAGGAGAATCCCAGTCTGTAGCTCTTCTATCTTAATAAGCCACGCTCCCAAGAGATGGTGTAAGTTTAGCTTCTGTGTCATTGGAACAGAGCACATCATAGCTTCAAGAAACACAGGGGTAAGCTTTCCTGAAAATCTGCCAGAAGTGCAAAATGGGTTCTCACACAGTCTAACTCACAAGCATTTCAATCATTCCCGTGCAAAGCTTTTAATTCTATTTAAATCTTGTCCAGAGAAGGAAGTGGGGAAAGAAAGGGAAGAAGGGAAGAGAGAGAAGTCTCTCAAGCAGGCTGGCTGCCTTCTGGTAAACACACTAAATTATATCCTCAATCTATACGTCACCCAGGAAATATCCATTATATTCACAAGAGAAACAAGAGAAATTATATTCATTTTCTTATTTCTAAAAGCTGCACCACGCTAAACTTCAGACCTATCCCATACCCTCTGTGTCTCCTAGGAGAAGTAATTTACTCCTTGCGCCAGAATCTGTTTATTACACTGCATTCAACTGTATAAAATCACACACAAAATCATCAAAAATACAGAAGCTGCCAAATAAAGCACTCCCCTAAGTTAAGACTGGACCGTCCAATGCTAGCGTGGTCGTCCCCTTGTGCACACATATTGAAATTCAGGTTTGAATACTTTGATTAACACTTGGAGCAGTCCCACATTCCCTCTGCTCACTCACTCCTTTACCTGCCAAGTGCTCGGTTGCTACAGATATGAAAACCCTATGAATGAGTAAATTGTAAGTTTATTGACCCTATATTGACTGCTGAAGAAGAAATAAAATACTGTATCACTGTCAAATTCTACCCACCCTATGCACAGGATGACCTGGGATCTAGAAAAGCCTAAGAGCTGTGCAAGAGAGATGGAAGCTGGTCGCTTCTAGCCCCAACCACTCCATGATTCAAATACCTTCACCAGGAGAAATCTTACTTTTTTCTCTATTTCTATTAGTCTTTCAACTTCTACTACAAGCTTGGCTTAAGAGAGCTTAAGTAACTTAAGTACTAGTTCTGCTAAGTCATTTTCCAAATTTGATGTCACTCAAAAAGGAATTTGAAGCAGGCAAAGAAAGCTGAAAGAAGCAAAGATCATAAGATAGCACAATTAAGATAAAAAAACATAATCATGTAACTAAAATACTACTATTAGTCAGCTCTCCATAGCCCCCTGGAGCTCACACCCTGCTTGCCGCAGCCCACAGGCTGTACCTAACAGGGAAAAGCCCAGAGGAAACAGGTTGGAGTACACTCCATTCCCCTTGACACTATTCCACTGGAAAATATTCCTTGGGCTGCAAACTGAAAATTACTGAATTTAGAAAAAATCACCTCCGCATACATTTGGAGTAAATTAAGGCTTACCCTCAAATTTTAATTCTGAAATTTCTACACTTTTAACTATCTGGATTTGCAACCAAGTTCTTGTGGTAGGATTTTTTGGTCATTTCCTCATGTGCATGAGGAAGGTGCATGAACAAGGGAGAGGAAGGGAGGCAGGAGTTGTTGCAAAGCTCTTTCTCAAGTGTAAGTGGTTTAGTCAAAAAAGCAGAAATAGCATCCATTTTGTCCAAGACATTTCATTTGTTCCGTATGACAAAAGCAGTAATCTATAATCTTTAGTGGCTCTTCAGAAGAATATGATTATAGGAGTGGTACCTCACAATACCACTTGAGAAAGAATCATTAGGAGATAAGCTCTTGCACTTCCTCTGTGGGATCAGACTATTAATACTTCTTTCCATGTGTAAGCACAGAGACCTTCCCAAAAGTCGATTCCAACCAAAAGGACAGTTTGGAGACTTTTTCCAAAACCTTTAAATAAGCACCACGTCAGAAAAGGTCAGAGGATGAAGAATTATACTTGCCTACACATACTGCTATAAAAAGAGCAAAATATCTGTCATTGCCATCATTGGATATGGATATATTGGATGTATCATTCACAAACGCATTTATTTATGAATGCTGCAAATAGTAATAGGCACGAGAGCTAAGTAAGTATACACAGAAAAAGAGAAAAATAAACCACTTTTCACCTACAGATAAAGCATCAAATGAGATCTCTCACCACTATGACAGAATTTCTTTATCATTGCAACAGGTTTATTATGTACATTAATTCAGTAGCCATTACTTCCATGACAGTTTTTGATGTACATTCTAAGCACAGTTCTGTTTGAATTCTAAAGTCTTTTCAAACTAACAGTTTGCATTAGGCAATACTATAAAAAGCAGCTTTACTTTAACTGCACTGATTGACACACTGATCTTTTAGTGCAAGAAGTGACTGCAATAATTTCAAGAGCGTATTTTTAGAAGTAAACATTAATGTAATCAGTGAAAAGAAGGAATATTAATATTTATAAACACTAAATAACAAATTATGAA